AAGTCACTACATCCTTGTTAAGGGAACAATCCAAGAGGAAGAGATAACAATTATAAAGATATATGCATCAAATACTAGCACACCCAACAATATAAAATAAATATTAATGGACATGAAAAAAACAAATAAGTACTAATATAATTATAATGGGGGTTCTCAATATCACACTGTCACAAGTAGATCAACTAGACAAAAGAAATCACTAAAGAAATATCAGAACTGAACCAAACTTTTGAACAAATGGACTGAGTAAATGTCTACAGAGTGTTCCACCCCACAATAACAGAATATATACTCTTCTCAGCTGCACATGGGACATTCTTCAAAATAGACCACATACTAGCTCATAGAGTATGCTTAAGTAAATGAATTAAAAGGAATTAAAGGAACTAAAATTATTCCATGCATATTATCAGACAATCAAATTGGGAATCAGTGGCAAAAGAAGCTATAAAATTGCATAAACATATGGAAATTAAATAGCCCCCTCCTGCACAACTGATGAGTCACAGATAAACTTAAAGAAATTGGATAGTTTCTACAATTAAACAAAAAAGTACCAGAACATTACAACACATAAAACTTATGGGTCTCCATGAAAGCAGTCCTAGAAGAGAAATTTATACTAGTGAATTCCCATATTGCAAAAGCATAAGGAGCTCAAATAAATAATGCAATATTGAACCTCAAGCTTCTAGAAAAAGAAGATCAAGTCAAATCTAACACTCATACAAGGGAGGAAATTATAGAGATCATAGCAGAAATTATGCAATTGAGACTAAGACAAGTCAATGAATTGAAGAGTTGACCCTTTGAAAGATTAAATAAAATTGACAAACATAAAGGTAACCTTTTTTTAAAAAAGGAAAGAAGACTCAAATCCATGCAATTAGGAATGAAAAATGGGTGAAATCACAACAGATCCTCCAGAAATCCAGAATATCATCACTACTTCAAGAATCTGTATTCTAGGAGCTGAGGATTTAGCTCAGCGGCACAGCGCCTGCCTGGCAAGTGTAAGGTCGTCAGTTTGATTCCTAGTACCAGCAAAAAAAAAAAAAAGAATCTATATTCTGATAAGATGGAAAACACAGAAGAAATGGGTAGATTCTTAGATACATATGAACTACCAAAACTGAACCAAGAAGATATAAAAATTCTAAATAACCCAATATCAGTTAATGAAACTGAATATATAATTAAAACTCACCAACAAAGAAAATCCCAGGTTGTGACAGAGTCACTGCTGAATTCTACAAGAAATTTAGAGAAGTTCTAATGCCACTACTCTTCAAACTGTTCAATGAAATTGAAATGGAAGCAATAGTCCCAAACTCATTCCTGGAAACAAGCATTACCCTGATACCAAAACCAGAGAAGGATCCAACCAAAAAAAGAGAACTATAGACCAATCTATAGTTTTTGATGAACAAAAATCCTCAATAAGATACTGGCAAACAGAATGCAGTGAATCATCAAGAAGATTATACACCATGATCAAATAGGATTCAACCCAGGGATGCAGGGATGGTGCCATATAGACAAAACAATAAATATAATACATCATATTAACAGAGCCAAGGACAAAAACCACATGGTTATCTCAACAGATGCAGAAAAATTATTTGACAAAATCCAATGCCCATTCATGATTTTTTTAAAAACCCTACTGAAAATTGTAACAGATAGTCTTTAGCTCAACCTGATAAAAGCCATCTATGACAAACCAACAGCCAACACCATATTAATTGGTCAAAAACTGAAAGCTTTCACTCTAACATCAGGAACAAGATAAGGATGCCCACTAACACCACTCTTATTCACTATAGTTCTGGAAACATTAACCAGAACAGTTAGACAAGGGAAAGAAATAAAAGGAATAAGAATAGAAAAGGAAGAAGTTAAATTATCATTATTTACAGATGACATGATATTCTATATAGAAGACCCAAAAACTTCACCAAAAGACTTCTACATTTAATAATCAAATTCAGTAGTATAGCTGGATTCAAAGTCAACATTCAAAAATCAATAGTATTCCTTTACACAAATAAAAAACTAAGAGAGAAATTAGGAAGAACATATCAGAAAATGAAAAGATATCCCTTGTTCTTGGGTAGGAAGAACTAATATAGTGAAAATGGCCATACTTCCAAAATTGTTATACAGATTTAATGCAATCCCAATCAAAATACCAATAGCACACCTCACAGAATTGGAGTAAACAATCCTAAACTTCATCTGGAATCAATGATATATGCACACCCATGTTTATAGCAGCATGGTTTATAATAGCTAAATCTTGGAAACAGCCCAAATGCCAATCAACTGATGAATGGATAAAGATTTTTTATACAATAGAGTATTACTCTGCCATAAAGAAGGACAAACTTGAGACATTTCTAGGTAAATGGGTGCACCTTGAGACCATACTCTTAACTGAAATAAATCAGACACACATGTTAAATATCACATTGTTTCTCTGGTGTGAGAAACTGAAAGGGTAAATAAGGACCAAAATGTATAACAGGTATTGTGAAATAGGAAAAAAAAATGTTCAGATAAGAAAGGGACTAGGTAAGGGGGAGGGGAAATGGAAAGAAGGGAACAGAAAAAAGAGAATAGAAGGGAAAAATAGAAACAAAGCTTCTGTAAGTAAAGAAGGGAAGAGGGGTTGAAGGGAGGGGAGGGGCATGGGAAAAAAGGACCTGTACGTGTACAGGTCAAACTTTCCTGTGATGAATCTCATCATTACATCTATATAAAGTGTACCAATAAAATTAATTGAGAGAAAAGGAAGCAGCAAGAGGGGAAAAACAAAGATCCACAGTGGGTGCAGTTTGGTTTGGATTGGCAGCAGACAGCCTGATGAAAGCACGTAATAAAAGTGATAGGGACCCAGCCGGGCCAGCAGCAATGGAAAAGGAGAAAATAATACAGCACTCAAAATACACAGAAAAATCAAAAGGATGTGGTACCGCTCTAAGGGATGTACCAATGCCAGAAGGCCTCAAGGATTTTGGCAGGGACCCCGCTTATTTGGAGGTGGGGGATGAGTGGTTCTCAGGCAACCTTCCTTTCTCTTTGAAGAAGGAGAAACTGTGGGTTTACTATGATATTCCTAGCTCATGAATAATGGAGAATTTCAGAAATTAAAAAAGTCATATCTGGAAGACAGTACTGTTAGTACTGTGAAATACCTACTCTGGAGCAAGTAAGTATGAGCTGACTTTTAAGGATGTTCTTTGGGTGCAAAGTAGTACCCAGAGGTGCTGCTTGAGCTCTGAGTTTCCAAAGGCTTCCATATACCCGCTGGTCCCTGCAGGTGGTTGTAGCTAGGTGGACGTGGCTTCTCTCTGGAGCCAGCTCTGCTCACTCCTTGTAGTTTTCCTCAGATGATCCACATTTCTGCTTTCTCCAAATTTCTAGGGTTTCCATTGTACCTTCAGCTTCACACTTACAGCTTCATATATTGCCCTCTCAGGGGCACACTGCCTCGCCTTCCAGGCCTTCTTCTGAAATCTGGGTGGAAGCCTTCCTGGCCCCATAACTCTTGCATTCTGCATGCAGCTACAACCAGCACCACCTGGATGATGCCAAGGTCTGCTGCCAGCTGGACCAGTAGCCATGCTTCTTTCTCTCTTGGCTGTAGGGGTCAAGTTCTATGAACCAAGTCCCATGAACCTAGCCCCAAAGAACAACTTCGTTAGGCTACCACCATTCTGGAACATGATTCTCTTGAGCTCTCTTCTCAAAGCAAAGTCTTTCATTTTTGCAATTTTGAGGCTGCAAAGGATGAAGTCCTGCTGCCTCTTATGATGCCCTCAGGTCATCTCTTCTATTCTCTTCCTTCTCAACATTTGAGATCTCCTCTGCTCTATCTTGGCACTCCATAGGTTTGCTAGAGCTTTTTTTCTGGCCAAATTCATAATGTTTTAGTCATCCTGTTGGGCTCTTTGCTGTTGATTCTCAACATAAATCTGGCTAAAAGCACCCTACAGTCACCATATCTCAACATTAGACTGCTTTAAAATTTCTTCTGTCAGATTAATTAGTCCACCATCCTTAATCTCAGTCTCAAGCAAAGTCTCTGGACATGAGCAAAATGTATATCATCCAAAATGTACATAACATACATCATCTGGAGTCCAATAACCAATGCAGTTCTTCCCAGAAAAAAATCTCCTGAGCCTGGTCTTTACCAGCAGAATTTCTATCAGCATTCTGGCTTTTTGAGCTCTGGCCAGAATCTCCCATCAAGTAGAGCTTAAGGCATTCTAGCTTTACTTTTTTAGCTGGCATCTCTGAACCTTTCCAAACTTTTCTCACAGGCCAGTCCCAAAAGCTTCTGAACACATGCTCAGGTATAGTCACAGCAACAATCCCACTTCTGGTACCAAATTCTATGTTAGTTACTTTTCTCCTTGCTGAGACAACATATCCAACATCCAAAGTTAAAGGAGGAACGGTTTAATTAGCTCACTGTTTGTATAGGTTTTAGTCTATAATTGGCTGGCTCTAAGGCAAAGTGGCATGGAGAAACCATTTATGGTAGACAGAAGGTAGCTAAAACAAGTAAGGTACCTTAACAGTATCTTTTTGCTACTTTTACCTTATCTAGGTTACTTTGGGTGGTGGTACTCCCACCTTAATCCTGGTGTCCCTGAGCCTAGCATTTTACCATGAATCACACACTCTGTATCAAGCCACCTCTGGAAAAAAAACACCTATGACTGCATGAGGCTTTGGGGGAACATCTAGACACAAGCCATAACATCTTCCTAGGCTGATCCATGTGTCACTTAGATGGCTGCTGTGGCTCTAATGGTGGAAGAGTCCATATGTTTGGACTCCAAAATGTTAGAGGCTAGGATGGTGGAGAAAACAGAATCCACACTGCAGATTCTGTAGTCTGCAACTTGCTAGTTAATGCCTTGAGAAATTATGTAACTTATGAGTCTCTGTCTCCTCATCTTCCATAAAGAAATTGTAGTACTCACCATGAAGGCCTGCTGGCTTGTCCTGAGCATGACAGGATGGACTGTACACAGAGTACCCTTGCTAACATATGACATCTACTTGTCCTGGATACACACAAGAGCTCTAGCCTTTCCTCCTGCCTTCTGCCTCTTTTCCAAGATTCAATACTCTGGCATTGTACAAGAGAAGGGTAACTGCTTTCAAAGACAAAAGCTGGAGTGTTATGGTTGGAAAGCTTATCTTCCCCCTAAATTCATATGATGAAATTTAAATACCCAATGTGATGATTTGGAGGGTGATTAGGTCATAATGGGGGAGCCATCATAAATCAGATTAGTGACTTTCCTTGCAAGAAGAGGCTCTAGAGAGCTCTTTAGCCATCTTTCCACCATGTGAAGAGGTGAGAAGTCAGCAGTCCAAAGCCTGGAAGAGTTCCTCTCAGAATCTGCCCCAGCTGGCACCCTGGCCGCAGTCTCCCAGCCTCTAGAACTAGAAGAGATCAATGCTGGTTAGTTCAGCTGCCCAGTCTCTGATAATTTGTAATAGTAGTCTGAATGGCTAAGACAGGGAGTTCACTTATCTACTTGTGAAGAATTGCCGCCTCAGCAGATGACCTTAGCTTACCCTCCTCTTTTATTTTTAATATCAGATTCAGTCCTTTCTCCACTTCAAGTGCTTCTAAATACAATTTCCAATGTCTTCACCCCTCTTTTGGGTTCTGGAGCCAACTGTGTTTAAGATTGTTTAGTGGACAATAAGATTGTTGCATGTAATCATCGAGGAATTTTGTAGAGTCCATAAAACTGAAAGTAGCACTAAGAAGTGCTGTCTGCAGTTCTGGGCTCCGCATGACACCTTGGACAAGAAGCTTTTAAGTGACTCCTAACTTTTTAGTCCAAATTCCTGCTACCCCACTAGACTGTAGGCTCTTTGAAGGTAGAGACCATGTGCCAGCCATTTTTGTGTCTCATGGATGTAGCACATGGGGAGCACCACCCACTATGTCTTTGTGGAGTGAGTGAACAGCTATGTCATATTCACCCAAGTAAGGTAGAAAACTTGGCTCCTATGGCTCCACAGGGACCACCGGGCCAGGAAAGGAAAGGCCATCTTGTTCACCATCTGAACAAGATGCAGGAGAAAAAAGGAAAACCAAACAAGCAAACAAAAATTAACTGAGGACTCTGAGATATAAAATCAGATGAATTTGGTAAATAAATATATAAGATATAAAATATAAAAATATAAATATAAATATATAAAATCAGATGAATTGGGTAAATAAATTACAATTGTATTCATGACCAATATAGCAGTGGTGAGTTTCCTGGAATTTGTTTTCTCCCGGTTTAGGCCCAAAGGTAAGCTGAATAAGTGCACAGCAGAAATGGATAGTGACAAGAGCAAAAAATAGTCCATCTTTCTAGCCAGATGAGCTGTAAAAGGGGCCCCTGCAAACCAGAGACTGTGGGGGAAATCTTTGTCATTTTCCCTCAGTTTCTTTCTCCCTTGGTTCAGCCCTAAGGCCATATTAAAAACCCAGAGTACACTGCCACCACCATAGCAGCAGTTTGCGCATCTACAGTCTCTAAGGGGAAATCTGTCCCTCTGGATACAGGAACTCAGAGAAGAGTATGGAAGACTCGCTAGGGCAGGCCATGCGACATGACTTTGTGATGTTACCAGTGGCTCCAATGCTGAAGACCCATCTTTCTAGCCAGAGGACCAGGAAAGGGGATGAAGGGATGAAAATGTGAGGGAAGACCTGCAGAGGAAAGAGTGGGAAAAAGGATTCCATGTATGAAACACAAGCTGCGAGCTTACCTCCAGGGAGCATATGTGTGGCACAGGCCCAGCATCACAGCAAAGGCTTTCCTGAACTGGCCTTAGAAACAAGCGCTGCTTGCACATGGTGAATCAGAATGTGCCATCTGAACTTAATCAGGTGATTTCCTGCTGAAGCAAAGCAAAACAAAAACCAACAATCAACATGCTCTATCCAAAATGTCCAGGATAGGGCTGGGGATATAGCTCAGCGGCACAGTCCTGCCTGGCAAGCACAAAGGTGTGAGTTCAATTCCTGGTACAAAAAAAAAAAAAAAAATGTCCAGGATACATTTCCAAATTACCCAACTTGACAAGGACCAGGAAATCTGACTAATGCTAAAAGGGAAACACAAGACAATGTGATAATTTATCAAAAAGCCTCTAAAGCAGCAATTATAACCACCATTCATGATGTAAAAGTGAACACTTTTGAAATAAATGGAAAGACAGAAGTTCTCAGTAAAGGAACTATACTTCAAAAGAGCCAAATAGAAATTTTAGAACTAAGAAATCCAATTTCTGAAAACAATTCACTGGCGGCCTCAACAGCAGAATACAAGTAATGGAAGAAGGACTCAGTAGAACTGGAAGATAGATCAACAAATCATCCAATTTGATGAAAAGAAATGTTTGAAAAACAATGAATAGAACCCCAGGGATCTGTGGGGCAATATCTAATTACTCTCACCTCACTGGAATCCTGGAAGGAGAAGAGAAAGAGATCAGTACAGAAAAAATATTTGAAATCCATGACTGAAAGCATTTCCAAATTTGCTAAAAGAACAAAAACTTAAATTTACAGATTCAAATAGCTCAGCAAATCCCAAACAGAACAAAATAAACACCAAACAAAACAGGACTGACTGTGCGGTGGGGAAAAGAGCACAGGAAGGGGAAACAGACTCCTGGTGATGAATCGTGGCTCACTGACTTAAGGGTGAGAACCCCGCCTGGACCTCAGGTGATTCCTCACCTGAACAGTTCCGGGGTTAAACTGGATGGCCCTCTTAAGGTCCTCTCAACTCCGAATATCACACTTCACCAGAGCTTGTGTAGACTTACTCCATTAAAAATATGATAGTATCAAGACTCATTGCTATGAAAGAAGAAACTTAGCACCTTCTGCCAACTCTTCTTTATTTGTGAGATAGGGTCTCACCTTGTACTGTACACCAGGCTGGCCTTGAACTCACTGTGGTCCCCCTGCCTCAGTCTCTCGAGTGCTGGGATCACAGGCACACGCCACCATCCCCCAGCCAGGAGCCTTTCTAACCCTCATAATGGCGCAAGTGACTGAAATGAAGATGACCAAAGAACAAAACCAAAACTGCAGTTTTACAGCAACGAGCATGGAAGTCCGTTTCCCTAGCTCCTTCCTACAGAGCCTTGCGAGTGCCATGGGAAGACTGGAATTCCTTGGAAAGGGCAGGAAGCTCTGCAGAAAATGATTCACTTTCAGTAAGAGCTCTTCTGATTTTACCATGTTTTTCAGAGGCTGGGGAATGAAACAGAATGCCCCATTGCCTCTGACTCTGAGCTGGGTGGCGGGTCTGCCAGAACATGTTAATTCGCCCACCGTGACTCCCGTGTGAGCAGCAGCTCGCAGTTCCCTCTCACCCTGGGAGGTGGGTGGCAGCCGTCATCGGCCTCCACGGAGGAAGCAGTGCGAGAGGCCGAGGGCTGACTCCACACTGCCCTGCACTGAGCAGGAGACACAGCCAGCTCCCTCGGCTTCCGCTTTTGTCCGCTTTCCCACTACCAAGACCGAGAGTCCTGAGCATCGCAGGAGCCCACTGCGAGCCGCAGCCAGTCACCTCACATCCAAAGAGCAGCGCAGGCCTGAGGCTCAGATCCTCCCCGCTGTCTCCTCCACAGAGGGACAGTGTGGAGTGCCTCCTGCCCCTCTCCATCCCCCCATCTGCCCGAGGCAGACTGCTTGGCTTAGAGGCTCTTGTGTTGGGTACACACCCCACAGATGGGGCTCTCTGGAGAAGAGCCTCCCTCCTCCCCCCAGCGATTCGAGAATGTGCTGGGGTTTAGTCAGGGAGCTTGGTGGTTGGGGGCGTCGCTTCACAGCTGGCCATGGAGTGGCCTTGACGGGCTTTGCAGCTTGTCCCCAACAGGTATGCGCTTCTCGTCGACCCTCTTGCCCGCCAGGGAGCTGTCCCCTCCTCTGCCGCATACGCACGGGGCCCCAGTCCGCACTGACATGTAGCGGTCATCCCTCCCGCCTGTGCCCTTCGTGGCCACTTTCAGGTCATTTCTTCTCACACTGTCTCTTCCCATTTTCGAGAAAAATACAATGTAGTCTCTGAGAGTGATAATTCTGAGTCACCGCATACTGTCATCATTTGAGAACAGAAAGGAGTCAGAAGGTGGGTGGGTTCCTTTCATTTGTGAGAGAACAAGCCTTCTCTTTCTGCTGTAGCCTGGTGACTCACTGAACCTGAGTCAAAGCTCAGTGGTGTGGGCTTGCCTGGGAGGCCAGAGGCTGGGCTCGCAGAGTGCAGAGGAGAGCCGTGCACACAGCATGCAGAGCCCGATTTTCCCACCTATAAAAATTTCAGAGCGGTCATACAAGGCGGGCTGGGAAAGGACAGCCTGGGCGACCTCTCTGTAGCTATTTCCGCGGGTCCCTGGGCTTCCCCACTCTGGCCTGGCCCAGGGCCTGGGGAGACAAAGGAGCAGGTTTTGTGTGAGACACCCTGAGGTCTGCTACCGCCTCTGCCACTTCCTGGCTGTGTGATCTCTGAGACTCAGTTTTCCGGTTTGCTGAAAGAGAAGAAGTACTTATCCTAAAAAAGGTGCTCGCGTGTACAAAACAGCAACTGTGAGACATCTGGCACCACATTTGCCGCAGCCAGTATTATTAAGGCCTGAGTCCTGCGGGAGATGAGTAGAACAGAGGACAAGTGGGCTGGGCGGCCTGGGAACAGTCGCTCAGACTTACTGGTTACATCACTGATAAAGGGGCTGGGGATTTAGCTCAGTGGCAAAAGCGCCTGCCTGGCAAGCGCAAGGTCGTGAGTT